GAGTATGGGAAATGGGCATTTGTCGACGGAAAAGGGGCATCCATCAGAAATTGATTTATCAGAGGTGAAAAGGGGCATTTATGAAAAGGGGATAGGTCCCTTAATAGAAAGGAAAAGGGGCACGATTCAAAATAAAAGGGCAGTTAGCAAAGGTGAAAATGGGCACTCATCATAGATGAAAAGAGTACCTATCAGGAGGGGAAGGGGTACTTTTCAAAGTAAAACGAGCATCTCTCAGATTTGAATAGGGGCAATTATCGAAGGTGAAGAGCGCACTGAAGTGAAAAGAATTAACTTCTCATATATGAAAATGGTCATTTACCAGAGATGAAAAGGGACACTTTTTATTTATGAAGGGCCTCATTTTTCTAAATAGCCCTTATCAGATAGGAAAGGGGGCACATGTGTTGATGAAATGTGCGCTTATCCGAGTTAAAAAGGGGAAGGGGCACTTCTTTACAAAGTAAAAGTGGCCCTTTGGGGAGGGGGTACTTGAAGAGTGGGGCGAACTTTGCCCCCTACCCCTGCCACCCGCCCCATCATCTGAAAATCCAAAATGATGTTGTAGGGGCCGGGCGCGGCTTTATCATGAGTGCTTTTATGTGAACCTCTTTTTTATAAATATATTATGCTGGATTCCGACCCAGATTGCACACTCTAAAATGATAGTATGATCATCCCCAATACGCTTGTAGTTCACGTATGCACCCCTTCCTCCTAATTCGTCGTTACCGTCACTGCCATTTACGTATGGCCGGCCGGCGTATTTTTATTTACACGCTAGCGAGGGGAATTTCTCGATTAATTCCAATGAACATCCAGGAGAAAGTTTTCTTAACTTTTTCTTGAAACACTGTCTTGAACGGTTATGGAAACTGTTTGTGTTTCTAATCTCTAAATATTAATATTATTCTGCATCAAATATAAAACATTGATTTCTACTGTGATATGTAAAGGCACGAACTTACGTTAATACATACACATAATTTGTTTGTAACCAAGAACTTGGGTGCACCATGGTAATACATTTTAACAAACACATCAACATGTTACCTAGACAACTCATCACCATAGCCATTGTAAAACCATATATTAATGATACATGTAAAATATAGATTGAAGCAATTCTCGTCGATTGGCTGTATCCTGAGTGTGATTTATATAATGGATTTTGAGTAACATTTGCATCTACCTGTAGTTGAAGAATAGATACAGTGTATAACATCAATTAAGTTGGAGTTCAATTGGAAGGAAGTAACGAGGAATATTAAAGCAAGGGAGACTGGGAGATGAGGAAAGCAGGAAGTTAGAAATTGAGAGATTACTCGCGTGATAGCCTTGCATTAATGAATCCTTTATATAATGTTGTCTTGAGAGAAAGTAGACGATTTTTTTTTTAATTGGAGATTAGTGCAAGTATTAGATATATTGGAAATAGAATAAATGAGAAATTTATTTTTTATCGAGATCAATACATGGGGGGGGGCACCATAAAAAAGGGCACTTTCTGGAATATAAGGTGCACCTACAAAGGGAAACATCAAAATGTAAATCTACCATATTAAGACATTGATAGACGTACGCGCAACGCATGTCACATACAGAAAAATGAGAAGAAAAGAAAGATTTTTTTTTTTTTTTAAAGAAGATAGAGGAAAAGGAGAGAGACAGAGAGAGGGAGAGAAAGAAAGAAAGAAAGAAAGAAAAAAAGGAAGAACATGAAACTTAACTTTACACTTAGGCCTACATATTACATTTCCGACTGAGTTGGCTCGACATGTGCTTAAGTAGTCTGCGGACGAAAGTACAACAATACGAAAACAGAAGTTATATGAAATTGTCTTTAAGAGAGAAAGAGAGGATAAATTCTAAAATAAAATGAAAGGGGGTATGTGACTCTCAAGGAGGAAATTACAATTTCTATCGCTCATGACGACTATTTGGAATTTCCTAATTTTGTTTAAAGTTCAAGAACTTCCTGAGGCTCCGCCCCATGCAAGACTCCCGGCAACAGCGAATTATTTACACAATTTCTTGCTGTCTGCTGCCTCGAGATCACTGGAGCGAAGAAAGGTAACATATAGCAAGAATCCCTATTCAGTGAAGAATTTATCCCTTTTATTATTAAAGACTCCCGACAAAGGCTCTCCCCCTGCAAAATTGGAGAGAGTTTTATGTAGTTTAAGCTTCTAACAACCACGCCCGTGGACTTTTTATTATTTACACAAAGGTAAAAGTGTATAGCAAGAATCCCTATTCAGTGAAGGATTTATCCCTTTTATTATTAAAGACTCCCGACAAAGGCTCTCCCCCTGCAAAATTGGAGAGAGTTATAATGTAGTTTTAGCTTCTAACAACCACGCCCGTGGTCCGTGGACTTCTTATTATTTACACAAAGGTAAAAGTGTATAGCAAGAATCCCTATTCAGTGAAGGATTCATCCTTTTTATGCAGATGCTTCTTCTACCATTCTTGACCAGAAGTGCGTTTCAAACTCAATGATATGGGCATCATCCCATTGAATGTTGTGTCCAGTGTTACGGGTTTGTTTTGCTACTTGCTGCCTAATCTGAGGGCTCTGTTGTGCTCTTTAAAAAGAGGACACAATAGGGGCGGCGCAATTTAAATATCAAGGAATGTATTAGAGTTTATTTCTAAAATGAAATGAAAGGGCTATTTGACTTTCAAGAGCGATAAAAACTCTAATCCATCCCTTGAAATTTAAATTGCACTGCCCCCATTCAGTGTGCCATTTTCAAAGAGCACAAAAAGGCTTCAGATTGAAGATTCCATCTCATAAAATTGTCTATAAGAGAGAAAGAGAGTTTATTTCGAGAGAAAAATGAAATGAGAGGGCTATTTGACAAGAGCCCTTTCATTTCATTTTAGAAATAACCTCTCTTCCTCTCTTATAGACAATTTTCTCTCTTGAAAGTCAATAACCCTTTAATTTATTTTAGAAATAACCTCTTTTTTTCTCCTAAAGACAATTTCTTTCTTGAAAAGGCTCTACCAGACCCCTCAAGCTCTGCCACGTTGTATGGATCCATTAGAAAGCAAAATAAGCCCACTCAATAATTGATACATACTAAAACGTCATAGCGATTCATCCAAATAAGAAATCCACGTAAGAGGCATTTTGAATGTTTTAAGAAAATTCTTTCAAATTCCAGGATATTGGGTGTTCTTTTTCAGGAAACTCTATTTAAACGAGTGGAAGCACTGGCGGTTCTGTTTTTTTTTTTTAAACTGTAACAATTCTCCTTGGATCAGATATAGACCAAAAACAAGCCTCATTATCTTCAGTATACAAGTGTCATTTCGGACCTTACAGCTTTCATAGAAATCGCTTCTGGACCGTCAAAGAAAAAGTTTGAGAACCCCTGGTCTACGCATTATACACATCAGGACCAACTTGACAACTTGACAAAAATTTGAGGGGGGTTCGACCCCCCCCCCCCCCCCCCCCTCTGCCTTATCCATCGTTACCGTCACAACCATTTGAGTAGGGCCGGCCCCCTCCTTAATAACGACTCCCAAGCCATCAAGAATGACCCCGTAATTTATAGATTACCATTCTGCCGTTCTTTGGAGGGGCCGGGCGCGGCCTTTTCAGAAGTGTTTCTGCACTAACCTTTTCATGCACTCCGGCTTAACATAAACAAGCATGCTAAGATTGTTTTGAAAAGAAGCATAATTTCGACTCAGTTTCGCATAACCTAAAAATAAGAATACGGCCAGTCACCCCCCCCCCCCCTCCCCTTAATGCATCCGCCTTCACGCCCTTCCCCTTGTCTTTCCCTTATTCGTCGTTACTGTCACTAATTTTTAGTGCCATTTCGTTGTCTTGCTTTCTCCCCGGCTCCTCTCTTCTTTTTCTTTCCTCTTTTTTGAACTCTCTCTCTCTCTTTTCTTTACTTTTTGTTCTCTTTTCTTTTATCTTCTCCTTTTCCCCCTTTTTTTCCTTTTTTTTTTTCTTCCTCTTTTTTCCTTCTCAATTTTTTTGCTTCTCCAATAGGGGGGGCCGCGGCCGTTTCGGCCCACCCCTGGATCCGCCACTGATTTACTACATATTTCTGGATAAATTATCATCTAATTTCAATCAACAATTTTATCACAATCATATTTTCATTATAATTATTGTAAACCTTGTTCTGGGCCCCGTCTTACAAAGAGTTGATATTGATCGCAGTTTATTTGCGATCGGTATCAATCTGAACTATATGTACATAAGGGATAGAGGACTGCAAACTTGCGATTGATAAGAGGACTTACGATTGATGTGGATCAATCGCAACGTTAAGAACGGCCCCCTGCATGGTGTACTCAAAATCATAGACGTAATAGAAATGCACCTTATTGATTCATGGAATTTTACGCACCTTCTTTCGTATTATCACCGTGCAGTATGTAATAATTATGTGCAAAATAGAGGGGAAGGAAATACACATTGGGCCTTAATTCTCAAAATTTATTTGAGAGATTTACAAGAATATTATCCTAATTTTCAGACAATAAAAGGGCTATGGGGAAACGTACAAATTTATGTTTCCAGTTTAGTGGCGATACAGAATGTTATATGGATATAAAATATTCAAGAAAAAAGCCGACACTGGCAGGCTCGTCGAGTTGAGTGACGAGTTGAATGACCATGACCTTTGACCATGACCATCATGATATTCTCCTCCAGTATCATCTCTTATTTTGGGCACAAACATGTCGTGGCAAATGAGATAAATGGGTTAACTATGAGTATTTCTGTGGACATTCATGTACTGACGGCCCTATAGTCTGCAAGCGCAGACCACTTTACTACAGTTCTTAAAGCCTTGATCAGAGCCTAGATCTGTAAAGGGTGTGTCAGCTAGAGCATAATAATATCATCTTGCAGACACTGTGTTACGCACAATGACTGACAATGGTTTGTGTTTGCAAACTATGACGGTCCCGGGATCAATATAACTTTCCATGCGTGAAGCCATTTACATATAGTACCCTGTACATGTACTGTATGCCGTGAAACCGGTTATTACTGGTTCTGCGATATGCTGTGGGTATGTAAAGTATACAGCGAAGCTGATCGATTGCCGAAGGTTTGTTATGAATGGCATCGTGTACGGCATCTGAAGCGTAGTGCGAGTCCAGTTTATCATTCGGTGGCACTTAAAGTAAACCTTCGAGGCAATGGATGTGCATAATTGACCGTTGTCAAGGTGATTATGAATCTCATTTTTTATTATTTTAATCGTAATCATGTCGTTGAATGTTGCGAATTATAGCGTATTGGAAAGGAAGAGATATCATATCGTAATGGAAACGGGCGCGTTTCTCCGGCTTCGCCTATATACGAATCCTTTATCATGTTGTTATTGTTGATGTATTTCGTAGCTTCCGTTATGATCGGCGAGCTAGTGAGTATGTATCTCATATTATATACAAAGTCTCAATGCCTTGTTACATGTTTCTATATTCATTATTATCATTTTATGAGATTGACATTACCTGTGTTGAGCGCTTAGTTTACGAACGGGTGAGCCCTGTATTTGAAGAAGGACAACAATATAAGAGCATATAAATCATTCTAATAATCCTATCTACTCTTTAGGCTTCTCCACGCGCGTTTGGAAGTGCTTAGGGCGATATACAATATTCAAGATTATGTTTATTTTCGAGACCGCCCCCCCCCCCCCCGACACATACACACACACACCTTATAGCACACAAAGGCGTATTATTCGCGTCGGCGTATATAATAGATTCCTCTTTTAACACCATCTGATTTAGCTATATATAATATTTTCGTTGAGGCGGTTTTAGACAAAATGTATACATGTCTACAGTAGTACAGTTCAAGAAATATTACAATTGAAAAGACAGACGTTCTACAACGTAGGCTACATAATAAAAAGTTAGTGCTGAGTAGTAGCCTATATACCTACCCGCGGGACGCTAAATTATAAAGTCGCAATTGCTCAATCCAATTTAATAAAAGGTTTATTATGTAAACATGCAATTACAAAAAAATAGTATACTACATTATGTGGAGATTAAGCCGTCGATGCTTAGAGCCGACTTTGCGAAAGTTGTTACAAATGAAAATATTATAAACATCAAGTACAAGGAAATAAGAATATGTCAACAAGTAAAGAAATCAAGTATTGATAGTACAGTAAAACACTTAAAACTGACATGATATACCTACATTAATTATTGTTTTAAAAGAATAATGGTATAATGCATGGATGTATATTTGCAATTGAAAGTATAATGTAATGTTTAGACTCGTCTAGAGAGAGGAAAAGAAGAGATAAAAAAAACATACTCAGTATGTGAGGTAGAGAAGAGAAGGAAAGAGAAAAGGGGTAGATGGGACAAGTGAGAAAGGAAGAGGGAAAAGAGGAGAGAGAGAAAGAGAGAATGGTCGGAGTGGGAGAGCAGAAAGATAAAGAGATGGCGCGGGAGAGATAGAGAAGGAGAGCATGTGATCCAGCAATATGATATCCATTCAAATAAAATGTTTGTTTTCAAGTTGAATGGATTGTTAGTTACCTTGAAGAGTTCACGTCATGTATAGCATTAAAGGGGAAGTCCACCCTGATACTTTTTTTATTCATTACGTATTTATTTGTTCATTTATTTATTTATTCAGCATAAAAACATCAACATGTAAAGTTCAGGAAATCATAATGGTTGATTTACAATGAAATTGAATACTGGGAACAAAATTGAACCAAAATATACACGAAAAACATGTTGTTTTACGCACATGAAAATGTGGCTACTACCTATAGTGGTTACAATACAATATTCAACGAATGAAGCCAGGCTGGCTACATGTACTATGTAGCAAGACCAAAGCGAGAAATGACGAGGAAGTCGAGAAGGAGAGAACTGACAAGGGAGAGAGTGAGGAGAGAGAAAGAGAGGAAGTGAACAAGATGGGAGAAAGAAAGAGAGAGGGAAGGGGAGATAAAGAGGGAGAGAGAAGAAAGAGATAGGGAGGGAGGGAGGACGAGAGACGAAGAGAGATGGAGATAGAAAGAGGGAGGAGGAGAGAGAAAGTGGAGAGAAAGGGATATAATATAATATAGAGAGAGAGAGGGTGGGGAGAGGGAAAAAGAGAGAGAGAGAGCGGAAAGAAGAGAGAAAATGAGAGAGAGAAAGAGGGAAGTGAGATAGAAAGAGAAAGATGGAGAGAGAGAGAGAGAGGAGAGATCATTAAAAGGCGAATAAAAGACAAAGTAATAAAACGTAGCATTAAAACATTAACACATTTCTTGTACATGTACACAGAAGCAGAAAAAAGTCAGTGAGAGTTTCAGCAAAATCCGATTAAAATAAGAAAGTTGTGAATGTTTAAAGTTGTCATCAGTGAAACACAAATTGGCAACATTGTGACGTATCTAACGAGGTCCTCTCCAATAATATGCTAGATGCAAAAATTTCGTAAATTTCATTTTACTCAGTTATTGATGACGGAATAGATTTATTTCATACAGGGGTTCTATAGAAACATATTTGCAATTATAATATTTAGGGTGCATGTATGATTGAAAATCGTATAAGGAAAAAAAGAAAGTTCGGATTTTTGTTAGTTTTTTTTTTATTTTTTTATATTTGATTTGATTTATTTACCAACAGCAATACATTTCATACATTTTATACAATAATTACATTTACAGGAAGAGAAACTATTGGTTGGTAAAAAAGGGGCCAGATAATAGCACATGTGCTAGTCGAGCCTAACCCCTTAAACAACTAAACAAAGTATTTTGGTACAAATCAGTTTAGAGAATGTAACAAAACAAAAAATAATTAATTTACTTTTACAATCGATGCTTTAAAAAAAAAAAAGAATCAGTACTCAATAATGTCTTACAATATACAAACTAATAATGTAAAATATGAATTATGAATTGTGTACACTTGATATTTCATTCATGACTTGTTCAACAAATGACTTGTAACAGAATTCCGAAACCTATTTCTAGACCTTGTCAATCTGACATCAACAGGTAATCTATTCCAAAATTCACTGCCCACAAAAGACAATGAAAATTGACCTTGTGTCGTTCTTAATTTTGGAAGACGTAATTGTCCATCTTCTTTTTGTCTTGTGGAATAGCTATGTTCTATAATGTCACAGTACTCTATCAAAATATGAGGCAAATTGCCATTGACTAGATCAAACATGAAAGTAGAAATGGATAAATCATGTAAATTATACACATTTAGGATTCGCAATCTTTTAAATAATGGATCTGAAGGAGTTCTCCATTCACTAAATGTTATGGCACGAACTGCCATTTTCTGTGAATATAATATACTTCTAAGATTAGTCTTATAAGTGCTTCCCCACACCTCTATTCCGTAAGAAATGTGTGGTTGTATAAATGCTTTATATAATAATATCAGAGTACGAATAGGAACAAAATGTCGCAATCTTAATAGCACTCCAACTTTCTTTCTAATACACTGATTTACAAAACGAATATGACTCTTCCAAGACAAATGTCTATCAATGTGAACCCCAACAAAAGTGGCAACATCAACCTCTTTAATTTCCTCGCCAGCGATTTTTAGTTTACCATTTATACCTATTTTTTTCCTTCTACTACATATTAACATGAAATTAGTTTTCATTGAATTAATTGTAAGTTTGTTAGCAGTGCACCACTTATGTATCTTCTGTATGTTGTTATTCACTTCATTTACATCAATTTCACCTTCGAAATATGAAATTGATTATAAAAAATACGCTGGTGCTTATCGAAACCGTTTTCTTATCGTAATCTGACCAGGGCTCAAATTAATTTTTTGTCCACGGGGGCTCTTCCCCCCAAAAAAGAGCCCCCGTGAGCCTTCTCACGGGGGCTCTTTTATTACTGACGGGGGCTCTTTTTTATACAAATATCCATTTAATTGGTACCTATGATACTCCTCAATTATTTGCTATTTCATCATTATCATTTCAATCAGCATTTTCCCTCTTACAAATTTACAAGCTACATAGCTGTTACTGGCCTGTGTATATATACGCATACAACACTGATCTTTTTGATGTCTTTAACGTGACATATCTTCTTCTCCCCTTGCAAACGAAAAAGAAAACATGGTCATTAAAAGGGATTAAGCGACAAATAATGATTGTGATTCAAGTTGATGCGAATATTTGTTTGAATAAGCACTGCTATTCACCCGAATCTTCTTTGTAAAAAACTTTTACAAATCTCAGCCATGCTTACTGAGTTGAGACGTTCCATTCAATTTAAAATACCCATTACATAATACACTTCTCCTAATCTCAAAGTGATCTCACAGCACAGTGGCAGAATTGCATGGCTGAGATTTGTAAAAGTCGTTTTTACAAAGAAGATTCTGGTAAAAAGCATTGCTTATTAAAAAAAAATCCTTGCATCAATTTGAATCACAATGATTATTTGTCGCATGGTCCTTTTATTAAATAACCTTGTTTTCTGTTTTGTTTGCAGAGGGAGAAGAAGCTATGTCACGTTAAGAAATCATAAAGATCAGTAATGCGTATATACATATGATACCAGAACAAATGTTGATTATCAGAATGTCATTTTGGAATACCTCTATACAAATACCACATTGTCTTTAGTCCGTATCAGTATTAGTATGATCCAATATAAAGCTATTATTCTTTATTTAATTCAGTATAATGCTTTTCCTCAAAAATAGTTTTGCTATTTTTTTAGGGTCGAGACGCTAAGAAATGGTTTCAAATGTACATTACACGAACCCTGAACCATTGCAAAATGATGGTGGTTCTCTCTCTCTCTCTCTCTCTCTTTATTTTAATTATGCATTATCAACTACATATAAAGCAGCAACCAAAAACTTAGGGTTATCTGAGATAGGTGAAAGTAAGAGTTAAAAAGAAAGTCATGCTAAAACGGCGCTTCACTTCCCACCGCCCCTGAAAAAAATAAAATAGATTAGTAGTCCTCCACTCCAGAATCCAACTCCCCCCCCCGGTTTAATATCACATTTTCACTTGGCAGCCCAAGGGGGCCGGGTGTGGGAGGAGGGGGTTAAACCCCCTACCCCCCCCCCCCTGCCGTAGATCTGCCCATGTTACCATATCATTCCACGACATTTTGGTCTTCCTCTTCTCCTCAAAAGGGACTTTTAGATTTGCGTGGACGTGGACGTGGACGTGTCCTTTTAAGGCACTGGCAATCACAAT